CTTCTTGTTCCATCCATTTGACTACAAATTTCAAATTTTCATTCTTTCTTCCTTCCTTCCTTCCTTCCTTCCTTTCTTTCTTTACTTTTTCTTTTCTTTTTTTTTTGACAAAGGATGCCCTATAAGCTCAGGCTGGCTACAAACTAGCTATGTAGTTAAGAATGACTATGACTTTACTTTTTCCCTCCATCTGTCTGTGTCTGTTCTCCCTTTCTGGCTTACTTCTGTCCATTTGGAGACAACATCTCATATAACCAGGCTGGACTTGAACTCACAATCTTCCTGCTTCATCCTCTTGAGACCTGGGATTACAGATGTGTACCACCATGCTTAGCTGGTAGATTATTATTTGTTTGTTTGTTCTTCATTACAGGTTTTCTCTGTGTAATGATGACCTTGACTGTCTTAGAATTGGCTTTGTAGACCAGGCTTGCCTTGAACTCACAGAGATCTGCTTGCCTCCTCCCCCTGAGTGCTGAGATTAAAGGCGTGCACCACCACTACCCAGCAGTTATTATTTTAAAATGAGATATGCATTACATTGTATTGTATTCAAAGTGTCAAGATTATCCTTTCTTTTTTTCACTAATGTTTATGCATGTGTCGTCTACCACATGTGTGTGCATGTGCCTGTGGAAGCCAGAAGCCAGGAAATAGAGTCAGATCCCCTGAAACTGGAGTTATAGTGGTGCCCAATGTGGGTGCGGGGATGTGGGCACTTTTACTCAGAAGAGTGGAAAGCACTAAGCAGCAAGGTTCTAACTAAGCACTCTAATTAGACTAGGCCACCCCTCCCCCTTCTTAGTTTGGAATGTGCAGTTTTGATAAGGGAAATGAGTAAAATTCTTTGCCTGTTTTCTGGCCTGTAGGTCACATTTCAATCTAGTTGCATATTAACTATTCCCAAAAGCCCGAAAGTGGTTCTGGACAGCCCCAGTGAAGGAACAGTGGCAGGCAGCTGGCGATGGGTGTGTGTTTTCAAGTGTGGGTGTGCTTAAGCTGAGGGGCACACACACACACACACACACACACACACACACACACACACACACACACACTGTATATTCTGTCAATATTAGCCCCGTTTTATTTATTTACAGAGTGCTTTTATCAATGTGGGTTTATCTGATCCTTTTAAACCAGTGGTTTCCTAAGTGGGTTTCACAGGTCTTGGTGGTATGGGAAAGAAATTTTCAACTCTGACATTTTAATTATCGCTTCTTTTTACTGTTGATCTGTGAAGTAGAGTCCATACCAGAATAAGACAGTACATTTATTTATAGCATGTCTGTAGGGAGTGAGTGTACGCTATTTGTTCTTGATGACCAGTGTGGAGTCAACAAGGTGGCTGCCATTGATGCTACCACCTCAATGTTGCTAGACAAGGCTAGGGACCTGCCCATATCAACATAGTGGATGCCAGGAGCCACTCAAGGTCTAGCAAGTCTCTAAGTTCCGAGACTAGAAATCTGTTTTCTTCCTCCATAGTGAATGCTTCAAGGACACACTAAAGCTGGATAGTATCTGTTTTCAAGCTAGAAAGTAGGACTGTCTCCACTTTAGAAAACCGAGGCTCAGAAGAAAGGAAGAAATTTAAACCACTAGTTCATAGCAAGAGACACAGGGGACTCCAGGAGCCATGTGTGTGTGATGTGCTGAGCAAGTGTCCTGGGGGTCAGAACTTCTGGATACCCTGACTCTTGCCTGTTGCTTTGTGAAAAAAGCCAGCCCGAGGTACTTTCTCTACCACTTGGAATCAAGAGAAAGATGAGTAGGAGTCTCTTCATAAGGTCACACCCTTTGCTTTTCCTTCTTTGGGATTTTAAAGATTCAATTCAAGATGACTGAAAACTGAGGTCACCTATCCCCCAATAGCTTGGCCTAAACACTGGCTTTCTTAAGGTTTTTGACTGAGTTTGGGATTCCTGCCATCTGGTGAGCAAGGTGTCCACCCTTCCCCAACTCAGCAGAAAGCCCGGTTCAAACTGAGCAAACGGTGTGAGGAGAGCTGCCTGCAGGAAATCCGATTCATGTGGGCCTGAGCTCCATCGGGCTGCAAACATATATGTATGTCACCGGGGCATGCGCCCATAATCCAGTCATCGATCTGCATTCTTGAGGATGCCTCTCCAAGCCGTGTGCCAAGATTGAATTTAGTTACTATTTGTGCCATTCCCGATCGTAGAGCATGGCTTGGCTGGATGTGTTCAATATGCATTTGCAAACAAGCTGGTGTGGTGGCTCATACCTGTAATCCCAGCACTCTGGAAGGCAGAGTGGATCTCTGTGAGTTCGAGGCCACCCTGGTCTACAGAGTGAGTTCCATGACAGCCAGAGATCCTGTCTCAAAAAAAAAAAAAAAAAAAAAAAAAAAAAAAAACTCTATGTATGTATATCAAACATGTATGAAGTGTCAAAAAAATGCAAATTATTCTTTAAAAAACTTGTTCAAATGAGAATGCCTTTTGCTGAGAAATTTCAAGTCTAAGCTACAGTAGAGACGGTCCTAACTGCTATGGGGTGTCAATAGTTACTAAACCAGGCCAGTCATGAGATCTTTGCTCATCTTCCTGTGTTTGGTGTTTGCCTTGTGCACATAGTGTTACACATAAGAACTGCTGACAGTTTTCTCAGCCAAAAGGATGCACTGATCAGAGAGGCCTGAGGGGAGATGGGAGATGACATGTGGCATCATTCACGGAGCGCTGACAAATAGGTGTGTGCCATGCACTCTTTCGACCTGCCTTGACAATTAGACCAATCTGAAACTATGTTGCCTTGACAACCAAGACAGGGACAATTTCATAAACAGGACAGGTCAGTTTCTACCAGTGAAAAAGTTGAATGTAAGTCTTAGCTCTAGAAAGCAGAATGTAATAATAAATAATAAAATAATCCTGGGCTAGCAAGATGGCTTTTCCAGTAAAGGTGCTTGCTGCCATTGCTGACTTACATGGAGCCTGGGCTCCATATAGTTGAAGGAAGAGAACTGAGTTCCACAGATTGTTCTTTGATCTCCATCCATATGCATACAATACACACACACACACACACACACACACACACACACACACACGTGTTAAAAAAAAACAAACTAAAATCAAAATTGGGATCTAATAGTGTAGATTCCATGCGCTACAACAAGCTGAAGATTGTAGCGATCCCTGATGCCTGAGCATGACCTCGGTTGGTATCTCACAGTGGGTGCGCCTGTGCTTTCAAAATGTTCAAATGTTCCAAAGGGCTTCCTGTCTTCAGCATCTCTCTTCCGATGAAGTGCCCCCTCGAACACACCACACACACGAGATACTGGTGGCTGTCTGACCACCCCTTAGAAGAAGCCAGAATGGGAAATTTTTTTCAGTCTCAGAATTCTGAGTTCCCTCAGGGGAAGGTGAACAGGGCCAAGACTGCTTTGTTAAAAAGGTTGGAATTCTTGGCTATCTGTTAACCGTCTTAAAGCAGCTTTTTGAAAAAAAAAAAAAAAAAAAAAAAAATGGAGTTTTATGGCCTGAGGCAGCTGTCAGTGTTGGGAACTTAGCAGCCTGTCCTGAGAGTAACCTAAGGCATATACAGAGAGCTGTCAGTGTTGGGGAACTTAGTGGCTGTTCTGAAAGTAACCTAAGGCACACACACACACACACACACACACACACACACACACACACACACACACACACACTGCAGTGCTTCTGGGACTGACAAAATCTTGTCTGCATCAATCCCTTCTTTACCCAACTCCTCTGTTTGAACTCCCTTTTTGTGTCCATTTTGGGGATGTGACTGAAGACTTCCTTCTCCTGGACCAAAGGCTTAATGATGTTTTATGCCACACCCAATGTTGACGCCACCCTTGGGCTTCTTGCAAACCAGTCAGTTGTACCATAAGCCTGAGGGTTTGGGAACCTCAAAATCAACATCTGTTCTCTCCCATCCTCAGGGATTATATCCCAAATTGATGTGGGATACCCAAGCACACAGCTTAATTATGTTGTGTATTTTCGTTTCTTTCCAGTTAGATGTGGCCAAGTGATCAGATACTAACCGATCTGGTATAAGTTGAAAGTGGGACAATACCCTCCCTTAACACAGAGGGGGTAACATGTCTGGCCCTTCCTTTCCCATGACATCAAATGAATGTCTGTCCACCTGGGTAAACTGGAGGAAACACCAATGGTCACTGATGGTCTTGAGACAAGGCGGGGAGACACATCTGCTGTGATGCTTTAATGAGAACCAGACATTTAATGACATAAACCCCTCCATAAATGGCTTTTCTGTTCCAAAACACTCACGGACTTGAAACGAAAACATGACATGTGTTTTAAGAAGTAATTTGGCCGGCATCCCACATCCCAAAGGACATTAAAGAGTGATAGTGTAAAAAAAGTTAAGGTCTAGGTGTCTTCATAGCACAGCTAAGGACTAACCCCTTGTTCACTGATCACATCTGCTCCACCCTGAAGGCCACAGAGCTCAACCTGATGTCCCACAAGTGGTTAGTTAGTAGTCCCTGGGTGACTGTCCCTGAAGTTAAGCTCTGGCACGCAGTAGGCACTTTAAGTGGATACTCACCCTTTCTAGGTTGGGTGAAGTATTTGGCTCCCAAAAACAAGGTAAAGAAAATACATTCAAACAACATGGCCTGTGTTTGCATGCCCCTGGGATCAGGTATGGGGAGCATTCTCATGCACATCTGGACAGGTGTTCTGGGGGCAGGGGGTGGTGGGGTGTTGATTGATTGTCTAGGGCCAGCAAGCGAGCTGCTTAGCTTCTGCATTTGTTGTGGACATGGGCATGAAGGTCCACTCTTACTTTGATTCTAGTATTCTGAATCAGAGTCCAGCTACACAGAGGGACGATGCTGTTCACAACAAGCGGCCCTGGCATGGGTACCGGCAATGGGAAAGGGTGTAAACAAGTGGTGCAGCTGGTAAGGCTGCCTGGGCATGCGTGCAGAGTGGTTAGCTCTGCGTTCATCCCTCCCTCCCTCCCTCTCTCTCTCTCTCTCTCTCTCTCTCTCTCTCTCTCTCTCTGCTCAGAGTGACTGCAGCTCACTTGCCTGGCCTCACCTTGTCCAGCCTTCACCTCCTCTAATCCACCTCATCTGCATCTTCTCCTGCAGTCGCGGCTTCTAAGGCTGCAAGGGCTTCGGCCACCTCAGCATCCTCATCGACCACAACCCCATCCCCATCCCCATTGTAGGTGTAGGGGACTTCCTGCTCATTTCTAGAATCAACCACTGATGAAGGGTGAGTGGGATCCTCCTCTTTAAAGTAGACATTCAGAACTTCCATCGTCACTGCCTCATTCAGCGAGTCCCAGCTTCTCTTGAGGGAGAAGGGCAGGCTCAAACCCTGCTCACTCATGCTGGGGGGAGTTCCTGGCATGGGCTCCACCTCTGGGTGGTTCTCAAAAAGATAATCCTTTTCAGCAGGGTCTGCATTGTCTACCGTGGTGCTCCACAGCTGGGGGTAATCCGGGGCTGGTATGTGTAGGGCATGGTCTGCAGCAGGGGCTCTGCAGTCTCCATGTCTTACCATCTGGGGCTCCTCCAAAGTGGGCACCATGCAGCTTTGCTTCCTGCAGTCCTCTTCTTCAAGGAAGGGTTGAGCTGGGTGTGTGCTGTCTATGGTGCCTACCCAGGGGCTGCTGGCCCAGGAACCACTGTCAACCTGGTGGGGCCTGGGACTCCTGACCAAATGCAGAGTGGCAGTGGGGCTGATGCCATTGATAGTACCATGCTTCTCTGCACAGTGTCTCTCTTCCGAATCCTCCTGAGGGAGCGGTCCTTGGTGAGGTAGACCAGTTGTACCGTCTCTGTTCTCTGTCTTGGTCAGGCTCCCACCGTGCAGGGTGTTCCTGTGCACTTCAGCCTTGCTGTTGTGGGTGCCTTTTAGTCTGACAGTGTCATCCTCCTCCAACTTGCAGTTGTTTACCTCGTTGACAAAGCCAGGAGAGGGTACTTGAACTGGATCAAAGAGATAGCTGTGGGGGAGAGGAGTAGGTATCAGTTTCATTGACATTGGGACGGAGGAGCTGGGGAAGGAACTAGCTCCTGGAATTGTGCCAGGCAGACAAATCTCTGGCTCATGAAAAGAGCTGAACGGACCCAAAAGGAAGGGATAGGTGAATTATAAAGTAGTTCAGGGATTTTAAAAATAAAATTAAAGAAAAGATATGTTCACTAACAGGGAAATAAGGGACAAAAGTACCAGCTACCAACTGTGTATTTTTCCAATGGAAAATGATAAATACGAAGTTTGTGGTAGGGTAAAAGAAACAATCACTGGGGGTTTAGTTCCAGGACCCTCATAGATAACAATATCTGTAGGTGCTCACATTTTTCATATGAAATGATGGCTTATTAGCATATGCACAACCTCATGACAGTTCAAGTCATTTCTAGATCCCCTAGTCTACCTATAGCAAAATAAATGCCATATAGACTATCTTCAGCCTGTGCTATTCAGGGAGTAGCAAGAAGGGAGACCAACTGTTCAGCACACATTTGGTTTCTTTTCTGAATATTTGGATCTGTGGTTGGTGGACTCCAGGGCTGTGGGATTCATGGCTGTAGAGAACTAATACTGTCAATAATAAACACTTTTGGACAAAGGCCAATATCACATTGACTTTGATGGTGTAAAGCTTACTAGTGTGTGTGTGCATTTGAAATCAAATAAGTCAGAGCTTCCCACTGCCTTGCTTCCCCCCCCCCACCCAACACCCCCGGAAGTCATGTCATCAGTTAATCTGTTTTCCTTATGATTCATATCAAAGGTTTATGAATGTCACCAGAAAGGTGACTGTACTCTTTACTGTCAGTGATGTCATTTTAGTCCTGTATAACCTGAGTGCTTTTTTTTTCTTTCAATTGAAGGCTTTGTGAGAAATGTAAATTTGAATGAAATGGAATTTGACCTCAGGAGTGACGGCATGTCTAAAAGTTTTGAGAAATGAGAACATTAAACAACAACAAACTAGTTTTCTAAATGATGCCAAATGGAGTCAAGCCTTTGTGCCTTGGCAATGTGGGTCAAACCTGGGCTGGCACTGATGGTGTCACAATTTTATTGTGTTATCTTTTGAGCTGCTGCCACATGTATTGTCTTTACATATTTATTTATTTCTATCACTCTTGCTATTGCTTTAGCATCTGCTATTGGACAAAATGATGGGTTTCAATATGACATTTTCATACCTGTATATAATTGACTTTGATCATATCCATCCATTCTCTAGTATGTTCTCCCCATGCCCACTTGTCTCATTCTCTTCCTAGGGTCCCTCATCTACTTTCACGCCTTATTTTATAGGCGTGGTCTTAACATGACTCCGCAATGGCTACAGATTCCCTTGCAATGAATGCCAACTGTGTTCATGTTACCTGTGTATCATCTTACAACACCTGCACCCCATCTGGATTAATTTTTGTTACCATCTGAAAGAATAAGAAAAAAGAGAACACCATTAGCCATATTAATGAGAATCAAGTTTAGTTTTCTCTTTTAGACACTCAAAATTAAGAGCTTAAAATTCTGGTCAAGGGATAGCATTTGAATCATGAAGACAGAACTCCTGCATGTCCCTAAAGTCATGGATTCCGAATTCCCAAACATTCTTTACACTTGACTCACACAAACCCCTTTTCAGCCATCCAGGCTTTATATCTCACCCCCATCCACATATGAGAAAAACATGATGAAATAATGTCAGAGAGCGAAGGGACCCATGATGTTTAGTGACCTGTGGCCTTCCTCAGGAACCCAGGAATCTTCCTGGACATATCACGTACACTAGCAGCAGGCGATGCAAACATTCCTAGAGGAGTCCTTGCTGTCTCAGGTATTAAGATGGTAATAGTTTAGATACTGAATGTCCACCAAAGACCCATGTGTTGAAGGTTTGGTCACCAGCCCTGGGAGGTGGTAGGCCTTTTAAAAAGTGGAGTTTGGTGGACAGAAGTTAAATTGTTAGGGCGGTATACCTCTGGAGAGAATATTTGGAGCCAGTTCTTACCATGGTTTAATAAGGATCAGGAGAAACAAATAGATGTTTATTCAAGGAGAAATAACTTACAACATAGACAGATGAACACCAGAAGATTTCTGGTCCCAAGGATGCCTCCGGATGCTCTCCTGTCCCGGTGATGCAATCAAGAGAGCTCCAGGGCTCCTCCTCAGACCTCCTTCCCCCAGGTAACTTCCACCCCTGTCTCCACCTTCAATGGGCGTGGTCAGTGCCACAGATGCAGACAAAGTGAACATCTCACTACGCACTCTCCTTTTTTCTTTTTATTTCTCTGCTGCCTTGAGGTGACCAAGTATCTTCTGTCACATGATCCTATAAAAACAGGGCCAGTTGGCGGTGGACTGAAACGTTTCAGTCCACAACTGAGAACCAAAATGAACCATCCCTTCTGGGAACAAAAACAAACCATCCCTTCTTCTTTTTATTTTACTTTATTTCTAAGACAATCATATTTTACATACCGGCCCCAGTCCCCTATCCCTCCCATCCTCCCATTCCCCCCCACCATCTCCCCACCTAACCCTCCATCCACTCACTCCTCAGAGAGGTTGAGGCCTCCCAGAACCATCCCTCCTCATCTGTTGACAGGCTCAGGGACTTTGTGAGAGTAAATGGAAAGCTTGCTAGCATAGAAAGTGAATGGTAAAGATGTCTGACCATGTGTGTGCTGATTCAGCCCTTTGGTGTGATGCAGCCCCAGCAGAATGTCAGTGTCAACTTAGCCAGAACCCGTGTACTCCTGATTTACTGTCCCCACAGCCAGCACAATCCTAGCCATCACGCCTGAGTCCCATCTGCTTACAGGTTGATACCGTGCCCCCTGGGGCTTCCTAGTGAAGGTGGTGGACTCCTTTCCCACCTGCTAACTATGTCCTGCTCCTTCCCAGTTGGATTTTCTCCCGTCACTTCCCTTTGAACAAAATCCTCTTTTCACATAAAGCTGGCCACCCTAGCCTGTTGGATTCCTCAGTGAACCCCCAAATGTCGATATGGGAGAACCTCCAAGTGGCTTTCCGTTTCTTCTGTGTACACCCTTTCAGATGACAGATGGACGCTGTGACCCTCAGTCTAGTGTCGTTGTCTGTGAGGTTCATTTGGAGGAGAGATGATTTGCCTGTGGCTGCCTCCCCGCTTCCCTCCTTCCTTCCAAGCACAGACTTCCAGGATGATACTAAGCCTCAGTCAATACGGAAAACATCCGCAGCTGCTAAAAACTATAGGATGGTTCCAGGGGACTCGATTTACTTTGGTGATAACACAAAATCCAATAGCTGTGCAGTAAGTGGAAAAGTTGTTTTCTAAAAGATACACCTTCTCAAATCCTTGGGATCTGGGAATGTTACCGTGGCCAAAGCAAGCAATTAAACAAATGTGGACCTGATCGATTTGAGGACCTCAATATGGGAAGGTTCCAAAGTTCAATTGTATTTATGCTCCTGAGCCAAAGGCAGAAGGAGGTTTGGTCTCAGACAGAAGAGAGAGAGAGACAATGTGACCGTAGAGGCAGAAGTGAGGAGGGCTAGGGAGGAACAGGGAATACATTCACTCCTGGGAGCTTGGCAGCAATAGGGTCCTGGTAAAACTCAGTGTCCTTTAGTGCAACCCACTGATGCCAATTCTAAAAGTTCTGGCTGCTTGTCTGAAAACCCCAAGTTTGTGGCAGCTTTTCTGCCAGCACAGGAAGTGGCTGTACACCCCCCCTTTTCCCAAGCACCGATCCCTTAGACAGTGAATCTGCATGTCCACTTGGCCACCCAGCCATCTCTCTTCATCTTCTCCCTCGATTATCTTTCATTTGCCTTCCTAGCACGTGCTGCTACTGGAGATATCACAAATTATTTATGCTCCGTCTTCATGATGGAGTCAGCTCTCCAAGCCTTATTTGTATTTTTAAAAGACACACACCTTATACTCACGAAATATGCAATCTAGTTGCCGTGACACAAGCCTTAGCAACACTAAGAAGTAGCTGCTCCTGGGATAAAGACCGGTGGTACAGGTGTGTCAATCATGACATCAAGCGCAAAACATACGAAGACCCAAGTACAACAGCCCAGCAGAGAAAAAAGGGACGGGATGCTTCAGAAGCAGCGCTCGCGCACACACACACACACACACACACACACACACACACACGCACGCACACACACACACACACACACACACACGCCACAGACATGGCTTTTCGGATTGTGCTCCTAGCACTTGCTCCCTTCTGCCTCACCTTTTGCTTATAACTCATAGATGAGAAGGACAAGTAGGTTAGATTAGAGAGTACCATGCACATCTCTCCCCTCCTCCAACCCCTCCTCTCCTTCCTCATTTCAGGACCGGCTATGAAATCCTGCCCTGCAATACCATTGCTTACTTTAGAGTCTTGTTTTTTTTTTTTTTTTTTTTTTTTTTTAATTTATGTAGGAAGTTGACTAGTGAAGGTGAAGTTGAATAAAATGAAAAGGGGATCAGCTGTATTTGAGAAACCAAGGAGGGTAGACTGCAGCCAGTCCTATAACCCAGGCATTGTAAAACATTAACAACGAGTAGCACAGCTTTTGGAGTTCTAGTTTAGAAGCCTTAAGAAAGGGAGAAAGAAGCAGGGGGTAGTGAGGGGGGGAGGGGGGAGCCAGTTGGTCCCTCCCAGCTTCCTAGTGGTTGCTTGGATCCTGGGGACCTATTTATTACCTGGTGAAGCCTGAAAGCCTTTCCCCACCTTCTGCTGGGCTCAGGCCACACTGTAAATTGCTTAGAAATGCAAGAATGGCTGGCATTTGACATTCCTCCTCCAAAACCACAGATTTCCCAAGGTGGGCAGCTGGACAGAGGTGGGCAGGCTAGAGATGGAACCCAAAGCCTTCAACTGCATATGTGTTTCCTGCAGTCTTCTGGCACCCCATCTCTCCTAGGAGAAGACAGGATCCACACTGTGCTCCTAAACCTGCAATTACAGGCTATCTGAGTAGCTTTTCCCTCTTGTAGCATTAGCGTCCCATCTTTTCTCCTGAACCACCTCCCTTAGGGTCCACCTCTTGGCTTTCCTTCAAGTCCAGTCCCATAATACCTGAGAGCCATGCTTTTGAGTCAGGGACCGGTCTGAGCTGTGGTCCACTCTTCCTGGTTCAGGTCTCTCCTTCCACTCTGTGATTCCCTTTCCTGGTGACATTTCCTTCTCTCAAGTGGCTCTAATAATGTTCAAGGTTCTATGACCCGCAGGTGAACAGGGTGGGGACCAAGGTACTTACCTCTCCCCAGCACACACCCATATCTGTAGTTATTCTTCCTTATACATATTAGGTCCAGTTCAATCCATTTCCCGTGCCTATATCAATATCTCATCAATATCTCATCCATAATCTTGGAACAAGGAACTCTCTGAGCGAAAGGGAAACATCCTTCCTCCAGCATGAGAAAAATACCTGCCCTTGATGGAAGACCGAGTTCCAAAGGAACAATCTACCTGCTTCCCTCCTGCTTGATTTTTGCAAGCAGCTGCCTAACTTACAGGGGGAGCCCTTGATAGCCAAGGGGAATCCAAATTCACCTTGTCTTTGGAGTGATATGAACAGCAACAGAGAAGCAAAGGGCATCAGCTTTTGCAGCCAGGCTTTGGTTTACACAGGGGAAAAGCAAACACCATTAGGGTGGCTGAGTCCACCTTCTGCTGGCGCCACCTGCTCCCAGACTCCAGCACACTGCTTGACTGCCCCCTGTTTCATGTCGAAGTTAAACAGCACTGTGTTTGAAGATGGTCAGGGCTGCATTAGTTAGTGGCCAAATCTCCAGGCAGGAAAATCCTGTTTCACAATGGGGATGGGGGTCGGGGGAGAAGGACAGGGGGAACTTTGGAGTTTTCTAATAGAGAAATTGACAGCATTCACCGGGGCACCAAGGGGTAAGAGCTCGTGTGCAGAGTGATTGCTTGGAGTCAGCTTAGAGGGGTTTCTACTGGCCAAGTCTGGAGTCATCAGACCATCAAAACAAACAGGACTATCAAGGATTCTGGCCCACTAAGAAAAGACTAGCAGCAAGACCACAGTGAGATGAGGGCAAAATGGAAAACACCAGCTCTGTCATGTAAGCAGGAAGCCAGCCAACAAACATATATACAGTAAGGGAACTAGAAAGATCACCATAGTAATAAAGGATCCAAGTAAGGCTCGCTGATAGAGGCCCAGGGGACAAGAGGGGTTGGAAAGGACCAGATGATGGGAGGCAGGGCTGTGAAACACTATCTTCTGGACATGCCATAACCACAGTACTCATAAACCTACGACAGCTGTGGTTGCCTGCATTGGGCCTACACAAGACAGAGGCACCAGTCATAGATGGGGCCCTATTCCCAGGCTGACCCTCTCCTCGGAGGAAGTCCCTCCTGCCATGCATGGTGTTAGCCATCTTCCTCAAGTACTGCAT